ATACCATTTGATACAGCATTAAGATTTGGCCATCTTACCTATAGTTGTTTGTACAATGTGCTTATTGAGTACAAATTCCACTTTGTGATACAAGGGAATATTGCCCCTTCCTTTGTGCCAATTTATCTTGACAATAGCAAAACGATCTTCCATATGAATCAGCTTCAGGCTCTTGGCGGGAATAACAAGAGATCGGAAGCCACACACGGCGACGCTGGCTGTTTACTAACGGTTGAACATCAGTAACAGTATCAGTTTATTGAGGGAAAGATAGACGAATGCCTTTTTGAACTCCCTGTTGGTAACAGGATGATAGGAAATAAGTTGATACAAAAAAAGTTTAAAATGTACGACAGTTACATGTTCCGGGAAGACCATCTGCACAAAAATATGACAGAAAAATATATGGTTACTTGCAAATCGCGAGTAGTATAATTTGATGCAGTGTTTGTAATAAGCAATGTGATACATTGTAAAGTTATTCATTGTAATCTGATGAAGGAGTTTTTACATTCATTGCGTTTGCGTTTGATACATGTCCAGTCCACTCTTAAATGCATTGACACGTGGAGAGGACAACCTCTTCTAGAAGAGCGTTCCACGCTGAAGCTGCTCTGTTGGTAAAGATATATTTTCTTCCGTCGATCTTTGCTTTGCCCGGGCGTAGTTTAAGGGAATGCCCGCGCAACGTTGGCGTGTTAGCCTGGGCAAATAAATCATCAGGAACGAGACAACAATGCAGGTTATTCTTGTAATCAAATTCATATCATTTTGCGTATATTGGGAGAAATTTCCATTCACAAAGTTCACTTGAGAGTCCGAATGTGTCGAGGGACCAATTGCTCTGGAAATTCCACGCAACACTACAAATGTTAATGAATGCTGCCTGGCCTATCCCGTCAGACAACCCGACCACCGTCAGACGGAATATTTTTGATTATAATAATTTCCCTTCCCAATGCACCACAAAATTAGCCCCACAAAGAGGTCATACTATCATAAAATATCCCTTCACGTAACTGTTCTACGTTCGCTCAAGTGGGCATATACATGTACACACAAAGGGCGATAGGAGAGTAACAGCCCAATCGAGGCGTTTTCAGCGATTCTTCTCATAGCGGACTGCCTCGGCTTCGCAAATGGCGATTACTTCTCAAAATATTATCTGCCTCGGCCCACAATGTTGTTAAAACATTAAACTGAACATGAGAAGTTTTGAAAACTGCTGCGTTGTATATATTTCTGCATTATTTGCCTTCTTTTTCAGGCAAAATACCTGAGACCGTCAAATTGCCCGGAGGCAACAATTTTGTTTTCTCTGTCCCTGCGGTTAGCCCTGTTGAGGTATGTTGAGACATATGTGACTTGCAATTTATTGACAAATACATGTGTATACTAACAAACAACTTTATTTTCAGTCAGTTGAGATTGACGGTAAGAAGATTCCCAAGGCCCCAGCAGGTAAACCCTTGGAACCAAGCAAGGACACCTGGCAAGAGATTAAAAGTAAGAAAATAAAGGTTCTGTTTTATTCTCCAAATT